TATTATATATACATATAAAATTATATAAGGTCATATATATATATATATATACATATAAAATTATATAAGGTCATATATATATATATACATATAAAATTATATAAGGTCATATATATATATATAAAATTATATAGGGTCATATATAAAATATCATCGCAGACAAATAGATTAATATTTTAAGACTAATTTTTCAACGCTGTTCTAATCGATGAAGTCCTATTAACAAATGTTGACAATGAAGTATGAAGAGTCCGTCACTCTTCATATGTTGAACAATGGAATATGGAAAAATGAAGAGTCTGCCACTTTATTTTGTAGCTAATGTAATTGTATGATTAATGAATGGAATAGTCTAAAGGTAAGCATTTGAGAGTAAGAATAAAAAAAATAATATTCAAAATTTTTTCATTTATTTTTTTTACGAAACTCGATTATTATTTTAGAAAAAAATATTTTAAATATTTATTAAGTACCTTAATTATTAATTACATATAACTATTCAATGTATATAAAGTACATTAAAATTTGCGCCAAGATCTATAATAAATAAGTTAAAAATTGGAATTAGAAAAAAATGGTGTAAACGTAATACAGTGAATAGTCTTAAACAGTCCACAAAATTGATCTCCAATATCAGTCATCCAATGTTTTTCAAAATGCACTGTGGAAAATGAATTCACTCTTTTTTTCCGGGAGTTGAAAGCCAAAGTGTGAAGTTAAATCCACTTAAAGCACCTCTTAAGAAAGCAAAATGGATGAATTTCAGTCATTGGGGACCATAAAGGTCAAATGTTGAAACCTTATTCTAGTAATCAATGGAAATGCAAACATTACAATACAGTAGGCTTATTATTTAGGAAAGGAGGATGTCCTTCCTAGGTAGGAATTAGCGACTAAGAGTAAACTCTGTACAAAGAGTAATTGTGAATATGACTGTAGGGCAGGATTACAGGACAGACGCAAACAATTAAATAATGTCCAATTAAATAATCTGTATCTGATATTATTAAGTAGGTCGATAGGTGGTTGAAGAATTTTAAGGGGAGATTGCATTACCTGATAAAGTATCTTCGCACTATTGACAACAAAATGTGTAATCGTTCGATATTAAAAAACTCAATTATTCATTTTATAAGTAGAAATACGTTAAATGGTATTTATTACTGATATTTCTATGCATGTATGTATGTATATTTTTATAAAGGAAATACCGTTAATTTACTGTTCCCATTGCTATTGTTAAAGAATAAAGTCTCAAGTATGTTATTATTTTAGAAAAATCGACGACGATTAATTTATTATAACATACTATCTGCTTAAACATACTATGGCCGTGTGCGAGTTCGAGTAAATTTAGATAAAGTAAATTGAAATTTCCTAAAGATTTGTGCACTGCACTTATGTAAATATTTATTTATTTATTTATTGCACTTATTTATTATTTTGAGTTAAAAGTTTCCAAATTTATTTATTTATTAAACATCTTATAAAATTTTCACAATGGTTACACCTAATTTACCTTATTTTTATCTAATTTACCCTATTCAAAATTCTATTAAATACCAACATTCGCTGCCATACCAAATAACTTAGTATTTGCCTCAATTTAGTCGAAAACGCACAAGACTTTTAATAAATTTAAATCAAATCATTAAAAAAGTAATTTCTTTTAAGGTAATTTTAAATTAAAAAATTATTGATTATTATAATTATTGATAATGCAACCGTGCGCATTTAAATTTAAAAATCAACTCTGGTGTATTCGAATTCGAATCCAAGCAAACATATGTTCAGAATATCATTTAATTGAATCGGCAGCCGATACTTAGAGTAGAGCCTAATATTCTTTAACGCTATTTCCTTGTGCTGTTCTATACAGTTTATTTATTAAATATAAATATGTGTTGCTGAAATTAGATTTATATATAAGTAAGATATAATCGATTGGAAATTGAGCGCGAAATGACTTCATGTGGGAAGCAGTTTAAAGTGGACACATAAGGACATTTTTTTTTGCCGGAAATAATATGTCTAATAGGTAAGGTAATAGGTTTACACATCACATGGATTTACAGTTAACCACATTCTCAACTTATAATTAGGTTGTGCAAATTTAAAGAAACTCGATTTTTAAAATATTGCATCAAACAAATACTGAACTATAGTAGTTAAACAGCTTATTTAGATGCAACAAAAAGGAACTGTTAAGAGACTATTGTGGATAAGTATAATTATTAATAATTATTCAATAATCAATTATTGTTGTTTTTTTTTAGTATATTATATTAACAAACAACCGTATTATTACTTTTGTAATGTTGTCTTTAATTTTTTATAATGCAATAACAGTTTAACTGTTAATAGGTTTAACTGTACTCCATGAAGAGCTAATAGTTATTAGCAACAGATTCAATCAATTTTTAGCTAAATGTCAGGAGATCATTAATTCTAATATATTTTAATAGGACTTTTATTTCAAAAAATATTCACTTAAATTGAAACATAATTTTTTATAATTGTTAACTTAAAATCCTAATCTAATATCTTAAATCATTTACTTTAAAACAATGTATTTGCATTAATACATTATTATTTATTTATGTTGAGGCTAGTTGAGGCAGTGCGCTTGAAAACTTTCTATAAACTGCGAGGTTTCCTCATAACCTCTCTACGCTTTGACTGAATTATAGTTTATCAGACTAAGCAATAATTGATCTTAGATCTACATACCTTCCCTAGGAGTCTGTAACCATGCTAATATTCGATAACGCGGTGTTGATAAGCCTGTCACTTTTCGTAAATAATTTCAGGGCTCTATCCTTTATGTATTCTTTGATCGGATAAGTCTTGAGGTTCCTGAGGATGTCATTTCTTCTAATGTACTATGGAAGTATTTTCCAAGTCTGTGATATATTGGTTTTATTTTCAAAATTTTTCTCGCTAGATGGAATTGTCGCTAATTGTCGTTACCCGTACTGATTTCTAAATGCTTCTAAAAACTTCCCTATTGGTAAAATAGATTAACTTTTACATTAGGTACTTGTTAGAATAAGGATTCATTAAATTCTTATGCAGTAGAACTGCTTTATTGCTCAGTAAACTACATAAAATAGTTTAGCTACGTTATATGAATATATAATGTTGTAATGCGTTTGGGAAGAGACGAGTGGTTCCGAGGCGTAGACCCGTTCTTTTTTTGAACCATTTGAATATATAGAAACAGTCTATTCCTATCAAAAATTTTCTTAAAATCCATCTATTTTGTGTTATAGTATAAACTATTTTATTTATTTAAATGTAGGTGCTTAACAATTGTATATGTAGAGATATAATTCAAGTGACACCTTAATTTATTTAAATTGTAAACAAATTATATATACCATATTTAATTTTAAAATGTTTAAAAATCAATTGAAAATGTTTATATAAGGATTTGTGTTGCTACCAGGGTTTTGTTTATTCGGCTGACCGTTTCCATAACTTAAAGCTGATGGATTTCCAGTACCACCATTGAGTGGTGCCAAAGGAGCACCTGCATTACCATTGTTTATTGAATTACTTCCAGAATTCCAACCATTTACGCCTCCAATTGGTGCCAAAGGAGCACCTGCATTACCATTATTTACTGAACTACTTCCAGGATTCCAACCATTTACGCCTCCAATTGGTGCCAAAGGAACACCTGCATTGCCATTGTTCACTGAACTACTTCCAGGATTCCAACCATTTACGCCTCCAATTGGTGCCAGAGGTACAGAGTTTCCCTGACCTTTAATTCCGTTGTCATTGCCGGATTGTTTATCCCATGAAGGCAAGGTATTATTTTGTGGGCGTTGTGATGGGTTCTGCCAATTACCTTGTGGGAAATTATTACCACCCCATGTATTGTTAAGTGGACGTTGTGTTGGATTTAACCAATTATTTTGTGGAAAACTATTACCACCCCGTGTATGGTTAAGTGGATTGGATGGGTTTTGCCAATTATTTTGTCCATGACTGTTGCCACCCCATGTGTTATTCAAAGGACCTTGTGATGGATTCGGCCAGTTCTGACCGAAACTATTTGGCCCTCGTGTATTATTTGTATTCTGCCAGCTATTTTGACCAAAATTATTACCGCTCCACGTATTGTTTGGTGGACGTTGCGATGGATTTGGCCAGTTCTGACCGAAATTATTAGGTCCTCTCGTGTTGTTTGTATTCTGCCAATTATTTTGACCAAAATTATTACCGCTCCAGGTATTATTTGATGGACGCTGTGATGGATTTGGCCAGTTTTGACCGAAATTATTAGACCCTCTCGTATTGTTTGCATTTTGCCAGCTGTTTTGACCAAAATTATTGCCACTCCAAGTATTATTTGATGGACGTTGTGATGGATTTGGCCAATTCTGACCGAAACTATTAGGCCCTCTCGTATTGTTTGGATTTTGCCAGCCATTTTGTCCGCTCCAAGTGTTATTTGATGGACGTTGTGATGCATTTGGCCAGTTTTGACCGAAACTATTAGGACCTCTTGTATTGTTTGTTTTTTGCCAGCTGTTTTGACCAAAATTATTGCCACTCCAAGTATTATTTGGTGGACGTTGCGATGGATTTGGCCAGTTTTGTCCAAAATTATTAGGGCCTCTTGTATTGTTTGGACTATGCCAGCTGTTTTGTCCGTGATTGTTACCACTCCAAGTATTATTTGGTAAGCGTTGTGACGAATTTGAATTAGACCAGGCGGGTCCGTAATTATGTCTGGTATTGTTGTATTGATTTTGCCAAGGCGTGGGTCGAACGGGAGGTCTTGTTGCGTTCAATGTATGTAAATTTGGCCAGTTTTGTTGAAAAGTATTACTGCTACCATTAAAATTATTACCTTTTAGTTGCCAACCTGGAATAGGATTTGGAGTTGGAGCGTTATGTGGATTATAAGCATTCCACTGAGGTTGAGTTGCATTAGGACGGCTCTGTGAGCCCCAGTTATCCACACGTGCCAAACATAATATCTCCGTGGTAACAGAGCATAATATGAGTACTATTCACATAAAAATAATCTTAATAATATGCAAAAGATGAATTATAGGTCTAACTTACCACTTAAAACAAACTGATAACAATTTCTCATTATTTCAGTTGTATAAATCGCTTTTTTGTTCTTCTAGTGCGTCTTTCTTGTAGAAAATTTCTATAATAACTAAATTATTTTTCTATGTGAATGCTTGCTATAAGAAAAAAACTATGTTTGCCTTATCTCAAAACTCAATTTTTTTTAGGAGAGAGTGTTATCTATGTTTACATATTGTGGTACTTTTTCTAAACAAATACGAGTGATTCTGACTCTCTATAATCAGCATCTCATTTCCTTGGTTAGCTAAGGGTTCAAATTCAATTATTGAGATATTTGCATTTATAAAAATGCAGTGAACAAAATTACTTTCATAAATTTACTGCTCTTGTTTGCGGCGAGAGAATATTTATTTATTTAAAAAATATTTTTAAATATTAATTTAAATAATTTTTTATTTTCCCGCTAGATTGTGGTGTGCGCATAGTAGCTACTAATAACTGCAATAATCTATCGCAATGCGGTATTCAGTCTAAATGCATTCTAACTTCTTGAGATTACTGGCAACCTAATCGTTGTTATAGTGCCAACGACGGCTGAGTTTAAGTTATAATACAAAGAGTTAAATCAACCGACTAATCATCGTTCATGTTTGCAGTTAAAGTTTTATCTTTACAAATGTAAATGTAAATTATTTGTAAATCCAACTGGATTTCTAAGGACTGCTGAAACCCCATTACAATAATTATTATAATTGTCATTACTCGAAAGAACTCGTTTGGTATATTAAAGAAAATAATTTAGAGAAAGTATATCCGAATGTTTATATTGTAATCAGAGTCATGCTCATAGTTCCAGTTCAAATTGATTAAGACCTAGTTGAGAAGAACTCGTCTGGTATATTAAAGAAAATAGTATAGAGGAAGTATATCCGAATGTTTATATAGTAATCAGAGTCATGCTCACAGTTCCAGTTAAAATTGATTAAGATCTAGTTGAGATGAACTCGTCTGGTATATTAAAGAAAATAGTATAGAGGAAGTATATCCGAATGTTTATGTAGTAATCAGAGTCATGCTCACAGTTCCAGTTAAAATTGATTAAGACCTAGTTGAGAAGTATGATGAGCCAAGACAGACTATCTTCATTGGGAATTCTATCAATTAAAGCGGAAATAGCAGGTGATGCAAATTATGATATAATTATGATGGATATAATATAAAAAAATTGAGTGAGGCTATAAGTAGAAAAATTCATTTATTTCAACTTGTGTTTATTTCAATTTGATTAGCAATAAAACTTTCATATATTCTTCGTCGTATTAGTGAATGTAAATTATTTGCTTTTTAATTCGGTTATAAAAGTGGCCTCGCAATTTTCTTATTACCGACGTGCAGGATTGGTCTAGCTCCGCCACTGTATTTATTCATGGACATTATTCAAGGAAAAATATTGACATATACAATATATTTTAATTTTAAATGTTTATATGTTATACATTTATGAGATTTCAGTTTTCATGTAATTCTTTCGAAGTCGAATCCTGGTACTTGCAGTCTCAAAAATAATTATTTACGAATAATTAAATACAAGAATTATTTCCAAGACCACTGATGATGGTTATTTGGCAATACTCGAAACAGCTGTATGTTCAGATGAAAACTCCATTAATTAAAATAATATAAAAAATAAAATTTTTTGTTGTAGTTCACTACTGTTCGAAAAAACCGCTTTATGTACTTCTTTATAAATTATTTAACACAAGTTATTTATAAATTCAAGTACTGATGGTAGAGTGTAGTACTTATTCTTATAATTTTATTCTAATACTTAGAAATGTATTTAATGTTGGAAAAATAATAGAAGTCGCTTTTATGGTTAGCTGATTATTTGTATATTTAGTAAATAGTCAAAATTAAAATATAATTGTTTTTTTTTTGTTAGTTTGTTAATTTTTATAAATGTGTGCAAAAACAAAACCACACATTTAAAAAAAACACAACTAATCTAAGTATTAAATTTAAATAAATAATAAACATGATGACTAATTCAGTTTTAGAGGAATGCATACAGAATCTCCAAAATAAGATTTCGTGTTAATAATAAAATATTCCAAAACGAAATAGTACTAGTAATAAAATCTTTATTATTATTATTATTATAGCTCTCTGTTGTTGTTCTTACCATAAAATTCACACTGGTATTGTTGCTGTTGAGAGACACTGTTGTATAGCTTCAAATTGTATATGTTTTATAAGTTCTTTAAAATTATTAAAATATGTATATTATTTTTGTTATCAAATGTTTGCTGAACCTTTAACAACTTCCACATATGTAATTTTGTAAATCATATAAAATAAGTTAAAAATTATTTTTCTAACATTTATTAATATAACCTAATAATCTTATTAATATGAGGTTATCATTATTTTGTATGGATCCTTACAGTATATGATGAATTAACTTCTTTCATTTATCGATTTAATAACTTTATTCATATAAGGTAACCAGTATTTGGTATGGATCCTTACACTATATGATCAATTAACTTCTTCCATTTATCGATTTAAGTTACTTTCTCACTTCAATATGGACATAAATACATATGAATTCTATTATTATTTCCATTTCCATTCGATCGCACACATATTCAATGTGTTTTGAAGGTATGGTACTAATGTTTTCCCAAAAAATAATATCGTTAAAGGCGAAGATGAAAGTTGGTGTTAATGCTACCAGTTTCTGGAACTGTGATTGAGAAACCTTAGTTTATATGACTCATAATGTCTCTTTAATTTTATGAGTTTCTTTCCATTTTGTATACATATATAGAATAATAGTATTATTAAAGATAATGATAAAATGTGAGATTAAGGCTACTATTCACAGCATATTTTGCAATATATCGCCTCTTTATTGTTAAAAACATATTGACAATATTAATTAATTTTAAATAATGTAGTAAAGTATATGTCAAGGAAGCTTTTTATGAAATAAGAATATAATCTTTCCGCCCTTTTATTCTATTAGTGGATTTCAGACACATTCATGTTTGCATATTCCAATCCACTGTAACCTTTTGTTCTACAACTGTAAACCTTTCCTTTTATTCTATAGTTACATTTTAGACATATCCCAATCCATTGTAACTTAGATTCGTACGATAATACCAATTTTTTGTTAGCTAGTGACATACTGACTCCCTACACTGTTTTTGTGAGACAGTATTATTTTGCAAATACTAACAGTACCGTGACTAAAAGACTACATTTGCGAGATGCTACATTCGAAAAAACATGTGTATGGACCTTATGTCCAATGATAGGTTATGTTATGTTGAGCCCTTTCCGAGTTATGATGGCTGGTGGGTTTCTGCAGAGTCCCACCCATCTCACTATCTGATTTGAGTATTCATCATAACGTTGGGGATTATTAAATGACTGATCTAAGACGGGTGCGAACAATAAATACTTTTGCGTATCATTGCACGTGTTAGACTTACTTTTAGTTCCAAGCATTCATGCATTCGAAATATATTTATTTTGTACTCATAAAATAAAATAAAGGAATTAGCTTAAAAAACTATTTGTTGGGTAAATTGTTGTTTGTATTAAAAATTAAAAAAATTTTATAATATAATTATGAATTCAGTTTTTGTGTAGTTAGCATTCATCTTAAAGCAGTTAAGAACATTAAATTATTATATTCGTAGATCATTAAGATACTTTTACAGACATCTTAACGTAATAATATGTTTTAAATTAAACATGTTTGTTTAAAAAACACTACTAAGTAAAAAAATAAGTCTAAATTATTTATATTTGTTTATTTTTTCAGGAATTTATATGCAAGTAATAACGCATCAACAATATGTATGTATGTATCTGATTCGAACTCAAGACTTTCGTTAAATTTTTTTTTGCAAAATTTTGTAAGTCGTATAATGTGGGGTTCGAGTTCTTAATGAACAGGGTATGGTTAAGCGTAATATAGTATTTCTTTACCACAGCCTCTGCCATATCAAGACCATGGTGCGTGCTGAAGAAGCACATCCTTCCCGAGGTGATCCTGTCAAGTCGGCGCTTGTCGACTTTAACTGAACACCATGGATCTAGAGAGGAAAACTCGATAAAACCCGTAATCTCCGGTGTTATTCGACCCGTGCCCGTGAGATGAATGGCACTACGTTAGTGTGTCTTCGAACGGAGACCTTCGGATAACTGGCGCCCTCCGATTGTAACATAGCCTTGTCCAGGTATGGCGGATCTCTGCCCGGATCGACTTATTTTTCTCCGCAACTCGTGGGATTAAACATGAATTCAAATAATGTAAAATATAATAAAATAATTAATAATACAGCTGGTCGTTCGGCATATCTAAATTCTGTTACTTCGGATAATCAACCATCCTATTCCAGAAAGATACCTACAGCGTATACAAGTAGAAATGAAAGGGAGTCACGCGTCAGGTCCAGACGGTCGGGTGCTAATTCACGGAAAATTTATAATGACCGTCGTGCAGCTAACAGACTGGTCGAGAGATTCAATAATACGCCGTATAATCAACTGTCTGAAGCAAATAAATGCAGCCTTGATTGGGCTAGAAAGGTGCTGGAAACAGCTCCTAGCACTGATAAACGGGAATCTGGAACTAAGCGCTCATTAGTCGAGTCAGTTTCAACGCCCGAAGTTAAAAATGTACAATTTTCTGGTAATTCTACTCAAAATAGGCCTTTATTAGATCAGCCAAACTCAAATTCTGAAGCTAAGAAGGCAAAATGTAGTAATTCCATTCAAAATGAGCCCTTGAGTGATATAGTGAAGAGCCAGATAACTATTGCAGTCATCGATGATAGTGACCCTGATGGCAAAATCACACATGAAAACTGGAGTTTAATAAACAAAAAACTTATGGATTTATACCTTGATTTAATGAAGGAGTATCCAGGTAAAACTCCCTCCTTTCGTGATGGTGGATGGTTCCAGGGTTATGTGAAACTAATCGATTGTGCGGATCAACGTTCTGTTGATATTTATCGCATTGCCATCTCCAGATTGGGTGAGGTCTGGCCAGGCGCAAAACTCAGAGTTGTTGATAAGGATCAAATTCCTTGCCGACCAAGAGCGCATACCTGGGTACCGGCCGAGCCGTCCGACCCTAGAAAGATACTAAACTTAATTCAGTTGGGTAATTGGGGAATTGGTGCCCACACTTGGAGGATCACTAAGGTGGAGGAACCAAAAGGACGTTATAGATGGGTCAATCTTGTGCTTGACAAAGCATCATTGGTTCCCTTGGCACGATCTGGTGGTGTTATAAATTACGGTTTCTCATCTATTAATATAAAGGTCTATAAAAAGGATCAGGAGCGATCCTAATCCGACTTTTATATAATTCCAATGGAAATATCGTAAGATGTTTCTAATTTTTGAATGAAAATCGAATGGAAAACATCTGCTCTTCATTCTCTGGTTTCCTCTTTTTCATCAGAAGTAAGCATGAGTACATGTCATCTCCATGAACACATACTACTTTCGTTCAAGAATATGTCTGCAAAATTAATGCTCTCATCACACTAGCGGAGTTAATTGACTTCATAGGCAAATGTAATGATGACATGGGCGTATCGAATTAACCGGTAATGATGCGCCTTCCAGGTTGCAACAACGCCATTACAATGAAGGGACAAATATGGTTTTTAAGCCAAAACCATGGTCTTATTGTAATTTTGTATGCTGGCTCCGAACTTAAATCTTCCAATTTATACAGCCAGAAAAGGTAAATTCAGATAATGCTTACTAAATAATTATATAAATAATGTTTTCTTTCAATTGTTACAGTAATGATTATCAGACTGCTATAAGCTTTTATGACCATCAGACACTTCCGTTAAATATTCTGAAATGGCGGGTCTAAAAGTCTGGTAGAGCTGCTAATAGGCTATACAGAAACATTTTTTCAATGTGGATGGGACAGCATAAATACAAACGAACGCGGTGAGTTTTTTGGGTTTATTATAAAATATTTGATATCACAACTACTATTGTTAAACGTTACGACTCTGGTTAGCAGTACTTAAGCTCCGACCAATATTTGTTCGCTGATTATTTAAAATTTGCTCGTCTCATAGTTGCATAAAATGCGTTTAATTTGAATATTTTTAGAAATTTGAACAAATGAACTACGTGAGATATAAATCTGTTGTAAATGGAGAAATTCTTTCATACTAATAACCGAACTGTCAACACCATAAAGATAGATCTACAAATGAAATACTCATTTATACTGATATCTCTAGAAAGAATCATAGACGGCGAAATATGACGTGTGCATAGCTCAGCCTCAGGACATATTTTAGAAGTTTAAGAATCTCATAAGCAAGAAATAAAATTTAAAAAACTTTGGTGGCATAACATATAGTACTGTTAAGAAACTTAGAGTCTGGCATTTCTTTTATTATTTATACGCAACTTTAATTACATTTTTTTGCTTTTTTTTTTATTCAAAGTCTAGTAATTATCAATAGTCGAGTGACAATTTCGAAAAGCTCGCTTATCATTGTTTCTGGGGCTATTGATAGTTTTTCTCCATTCTAACGAATATAATATATATAATATATATAGTCATCAATTTGTGAATGTTATTGACTCTTTTGAAGTTTAGTTAGTTGGATTACTTTCGTCGGACTGTTAATGAATAATAAGACAATTTAGTGTCTCTGTTGTCCTCTTCTCTGTATAGTAAATATCTTGACAAACTTATATATTTATGAAAATGAAAAAAAATAACATCAAAGTTATATAAATATAGTTTATATTTTATTTTTACTATCGAAGAACTGTACCTTTTGTATTTTTTTTAACATTTTTTTTATTGTGATTATCTGAAAAGTTTGGATTAGAATCTTAACCAATTATAAGAACATTATAAGGAGTAGCAGTAATTCGTGGACCTTCCATAGTAAAAACAGGTGATATATATTTCATTGATTGTTCCCATTTTTTATAACGCATTTCTTGACCATTTGACCAACCTATGGCAGCTAATAAAACAAGAAAAA